TACCGAAAAGTTTTTGTTTGCAGGTTCTTTGTAGGAGTGCAATCTTTTATTTGTATTGATTAAGTATTTTATGGTTTTACGGAAATCTTCAGCTGAGCTTGGATTTATTTTCACTTTATTGTTTTTTGTTCAGCTAAGAAGTTATTTGTTACGTTAAATTTAATTTCATTAACGAATGATTTGATGTTAGGTACCTCGGCAATAAAAATTGGGAGTATTTTATTGGTTGTAGTAGACTCTGAAGATTGATCATACTTTAGATAGTTGAAGCGGTTATCAGAGGGAAGAAAACTGGTTTCCTTGGAGGCTAGTTCCGTAAATCTGTTACCTACTGAGGCATTGTATGAAGATTACAAGTCTATATTTTCATTTCTGTAGTTGAATAGTTTTGTCGTTCTATAGTAGTTGTTAGTTTCTGTAGTTGTACTACGGTATCTATTGGAACATCATAACGGTCTGTTGGTGGTGCACTGGCTAAATCTGATATAGAACCTTTAAGATAGTCACTGTTTCTTGCACTTGCACTGTTGGAAGCGTCATCGCTGTTGGAAGCGTCATCGCTGTTGGAAGCGTCATCGCTGTTGGAAGCGTCCTCGCCCACTGACCTTTTTCTTTGGTTGACGCTGGCCTCTACCTCATGCCGGCTGCCTAAGGTTACGAGCGTTGTACCTTGGGATGGGTTTTGATAACATGAAGTTTCTGACGTATAAGATTCCATTACTGTATCATCGCTCGTGGCACATTCACTGTGTGTGGTAGGTAAATTGATGATGTTGCTATGCGGAATACCGCTGGAGTTGTGTAGAACGCAAAGAGCATTTCTGACTACTTTGCCTGTTGATTGCTTTACATCGAATGCCATTGGTGAAAGTTATTCGATGCACTTGATTAATACTATATTTCACTTATTGCACTTACAAAAGCACTTGAAATATACAATGGTTTGTCGGTATCGGGCGTGCCCGTACCGACACTAGCGTTCCGACTTTAACGAGCGCTCTGCGATATGAACGGCTCGGTGGACGGGACTCGAATGACCACAGACATAATGGGTCACTTTCTAAGAAGGGGTCTGGACGCGGTTTCTTCAAGACGTGGTTTCAAACCAGGATTTCGCCTGCTAGAACGAAGTTCGTGCACCATTTTCAGACCGTGTCTCGAGACGTGGTTCTCAATAACAGACCGCGTCAAAGGGAGGTTTGAAACCACGGCTGTAGCACAAAAGTGACTACCTCTTTCACCCCGAACGACTCTTGTTACTCCAATAGTTTTAGTTCACATAATATCACTTGAAACATTAAATTATGCAAAGTTTCAAAAATCGTGGATTC